TTGTAAGGCCTGCTTACTTAGTGAAAAGAGCCTGTTGCCATGGTCACAAGAGTAAAAACCTAAGACCCCGTGAGATATTAACATTCCTTGCTCTTGGAAAGAAGTAGTTTTGTGGTAGTTTCTTTAAAGCCACTGACCCTTTCTTTTGTGTTGAGTTTTCTCTTTTCTTTTCCCTTTTCCTCTTCCATGACAGAAAAGAATCAGAAATGAATCTTAATCCAGTGTAAACAGTTTAAGATGTGAAGACAGTCACATTGTTTCATTATTGGGGCTGCTTTTTACAAAGGAATTACTCTGTACAAGTTTTAACTATTCCTAACCACGGGAAGGCAAATCACTAAAGCACAAAGGACCTGCAAAGAATTCAAACTAACCTGGCCTCCCGAATGTAAATATCAATGAGCTGTTCCCTACTAAAAAAATGATTACTGCACAAATACCTGCCTTCAAGCAAGCACCATCTAACATTGCATGCCTTTACCCTTCCTGTTTACCAATGGCTGGGAACAATGTATACAGAAAAAGCATACATTTTTACATTGCTATGTCTATCAATATTCAATCTAGTCTACTTCATCATATATATACAGATCCTAAAACAGTAACCATTTCTAATCCAAACCATGTTAACTCAAAAATCAAGTACCCCATGCAAAAATCAAATTAATCAGGATCAAGATACAGTGGTGCCTCGTTTGACAAGGATAATCCGTTCCAGCGAAATCGCTGTAGAGCGAAATCCTCATCAAGCAAAATAAAAAAGCCCACTGAAATGCATTGAAAAATGGTTCAATGCGTTCCAATGGGCGAAATACCTCAGCGTCCAGCAAAGATCCTCTATAGGGCGGCCATTATCCGATGCCTGTGCAGCGAAAAATCCGTCCTGAACACAGCAGGGAGCCATTTTGAACAGCCACCAGCCATTTTGAAAACCCGATGATCAGCTGTTTTGATCGTCGTAATGCGAAGAATCGGTTCCCAAAGCAGGGAACCGATCGTTGTAAAGCGGATTTTGCCCATTAAAATATCATTTTGCGATCGTAATAGAAAAACATTGTCATGAAGCAGATTCATCATCAAGCGGGGTAATCATTAAGTGGGGCACCACTGTATATGCTATATAATTAGTTAATATGGTTATCAAATACAGTATACTCAGATCCTAAGATGTTGGCTGAAATCGTGTTACTTAGTACAGTACAAGAAAATTCATAATTTTCAGTCCTGTCCAAATGATAAATAAAATATTCCTGTCATGATTCTTGGGGGTACATGTACACCCTGACTAAAGTTTGCGCCTGCTCCATCATGGCAGAGACTTTTTATTTGTCAGCTAGGAATGGAAGTTACAGTGGGGTCTTGACTTGAGAAGGGAATGGAAGTTATGAACATTACAATAGAATTAAAATCATTATGCCATTAAAGTACAATAAAAAACACTTTAAAAACTCTTGATTAACATACACATACTAGAGTATTTTACTCTTTGAAAGGAAAAAAACACATCATGTCAACTAGCAGTTTGAAGCGTTAGCTGCCAAAGGCTTACAAAGGTCTTTGCCTATCAGCTACAGAACAATATTTATTTGAAACAAGCACTCTGAATGGAGGTGAAACTGAGCAGACTATTTGCATCATCCAAAATCATATATCCCATTGGACTTATGATAACCTACAATCTGCCAGCAGGTTTTTGCACATCCCAAAGTCTGCGTACCACTGGGGCCAGCTTGCAATAAAACATGTAATCAATGAGACACTTCCATTTTTCTGACAAGAGCAAACAGAGTAAGAGTAGGTCTACACTCAAATATACAACTGTTTAAATCTAACCTCATGGAATAACAGGACTTCCTGCTTCTCAGCTGTTTCTCATTTGTTTTCTCACAGAACTGAATTATACCAAGAAGCAATGCACACCCCACCATAGGAGCAAGACAATTGGCAGCCTGGGTTGTAGTTTTCAGAATCAGGTGACACAAGGTGGAGAATCTGTGGATGACGTTGGTGTCCTATTCCTCTCAATGTCAGCCAGCAAAGCATACGGCCAAGAATGATGTAGTCCTACATCATCAGGAAGACTACAGATTCCACTATCTGGGCTATTATATTGAAAAAAATTATGAAGTACCACACAGGAAATTAAGCTCTTAAATTTACTACACACTGTTATAAAATCCTGTTGACAACATTATTCTTAGTATTTTAAAAAATAATCACCTACATCAAGGTTATTTTATCATCTTAAAACAGAACTGCAGATTACAAAGACAAATGTAATCCCCCAAAACTTTCTCATAAAGGAACATTATTTCTTTATAAAGCCCTAAATGGCATGGGCAGAGGGACATCGGAGAGGGCCTTCTCTGTTCCTGCTCTCAGACTTTGGAACTCTCTCCCACAGGAGCTAGACTGGCTCCATCTGGCTCCATACTCACTGTCTTTAAATTATGTAAGCTGCCTTGTGTCCTTTTTAAAGAAAAGGTAAGGTAAAGGTTCCCCTTGACATTTAGTCCAGTCATGTCCAACTCAAGGGGGCAGTGCTTATCCCCATTTCCAAGCCGTAGAGCCAGCGTTTGTTTGTAGAGAGTTTCTGTGGTCACGCGGCCAGTGCGACTAGACATGGAACACCGTTACCTTCCCACCCTGGTGGTACCTATTTATCTACTTGCGACGGGAGCTCACTCCACTGCGTGGATTCAATCTTACGTCTGCTTGTCTTCTAACCTTGCAGCACACAAAGGCTTCTGCGGTTTAACCTGCAGCGCCACCATGTCCCTTTTTTTAAGGAGAAAGGCAGAGCAAAAATGTTTTAAATAAATTAATATGGCAAAGGAATTTTGGGAGGCGGCACTTTACTGTGGAAAAGTAAGAGATAAAAAAATACTGTTTACAAGGTGAAAAGCAACAAGAAGTGCAGCTTGGGATGGACCTGGAGATACAGGTGGCAAAAAGGTTAGACATTTCCTCTTGCCACTTTTAAACTCCAAATTCTGGGAAAGGATTGTTGTAAAGATTGTTACACTTACTTGTGCGTAACATGTAATTTACTCTTATATAAAATGAGCAAAAAAATACACATTTTTGCCAGCTATATATGTGAAATTTTTCCTGTTTTCCCTTACCTACAGTTTCTAAATATTCACAAATAAGACTGAACCACAACACTGAAAAGGGAAAAAAACCAATGCTAGGTACTTATTATGTGAGATGACTATAGACTTACTGGAATAAGGGAGGAAAGAACAAATTAAAACTTTCTAAATAGAAGTACACAGGAAACTTGCTCTGGAAAACACATGAGGCAATCACCATTATATTTTTATTTTATTTTTCAAAAAGTTTTACTTTCCTTCTTTCTGACAAAACTGTCCCTTTTCACAGCCTTCCCACTGAGTTGATCTTCATTCTAGAGTTGTCACACTTGGCAATTCAAATTGAGTTTGTTACTTTCGACCCTATTACAACACCTCCCAAATTATTTATTTTGGCTTGAATCACAAATTTAACCTTACTCATATTTTCAGTCCAGCAGACAACAGACCTGGCTTTTTCCCAATCTGCAACAAAGGTGATGACTTTCTCAATCCATACAACTTTTTTTCCTTTTTCATTGCAATCAAGTTACAGTACAGGATAAACTATCTTGTCTTCAAAGCACACTGAAAACCAGACTGGAAAACTCAGAAAAAGCAAGCATTAACTTCTAGCAATATATGATTCAGAACATATAATGTTTCCAGAAAAATCATGGTAACATACCAAGGGATTCTTTGCCCATTAAACCATTGTTTTTCAGACAGATTTCCACATCCATACATTTCCACATCCATATTTAAATGGGAATATGTCCAATGATATTCAATGGAGCTTACTCTTTAATAAGTGTTGTTAGAGACACAGCCATAATCTATTTAACTTTAGACCAAATACTACAACAACTAAAAAGAAACCTCAAGATGTCATTAACACTTGACATTTATTAGGGAGGAGTCTCTGAACACAATTTAATAACAAAATGGTAATGATCACACAGAGTAGACTTCTCTGGAATTCTAGTTTATCTTAAACTTTCTGTGTTTTAATGCAAACAAACCAACTCTCTCACTTTGCTCTACCTAGCTTGTCATAAAAACAATGTGCGCCCTCAAGATGCTGTCGCTAGCTGGATCTCTCATCATCCCACCACCCTCACAACTGTGTTTGGTGAGGACATGTTGCTGCTCCCATACTGTGAAACCCCCTCTCACGAGAGACCAGGCTGGCCTCCTATATGCTGTCCTTCTGGCAACAAGCAGAGACCTTTCTCTTCCAGCAGGCTTTTTTCAATAACTGGTTGCTTACGAGGGAACTTTCAAAATGGAGTTGCTATGCCTTTTTATTTTTTGATGTGCTTCTAAAATTGCTTTACTCTGGTTTTTTGTACTAGTTTTTAACGGGAAATTAGACTGCCTTTTAAAATTTTAACAATCTATTGATTCTTTAGCTTCAAATGTTATTTGTTTTGATATTGTAAACCATCCTGGGGACTCTTGGGGAGAAAGGTACAGTGCAAATTATGAATGAATGAGCCTGCTAGCTAGGGCTAATGGGAGTTACAATCCAAAACATCAGGAGGATTTGCCCCTTCTTTCCTCACCTCTGGGTCAGCATGTCATCTGAACCATGATTCGCTTGTCATCCTCTAACAAACCAGATTTGCAAGACCAGAAAAAAACCTAGCCTGTGAATCTTACATGTCAAGGGAAGGAAAAGGCAGGAATTGCAGTTCAACACAATGAATAAATAATTCCTGACTCATTAATATTCACTGTAGCAGGGCGGCAGAAGAGGTGAGGCAGGGATCCTGTTCATTACCATACAACCCATTCACAATATGTCTGAATTCTAGAGACATCTGTCCTATTATACCATAAGAAATGCAGCTAGAATGGACTCTGAACCTACACTAAGCTGCCATGCTGCAAAAAGAATTGGCTACATTTTTTTAAAGTACTTACCGCCACGTGGCTGAGATGAGTAGTTTCCTCCCAACACTACCCGAATGCCAGCTTCTTCCAAATGGACTTTCCATTTCTGTATCATATGCACTGAATTATCCTGGTAAAAAGAAATATCACTGAAGAATTAATGTTTCAAGCAGGGTGGCAAAAAATTCACAGAATTAGTATTCAAATACAGTGGTGCCTCGCTTAACGAGCGCCCCGTTTAACGACGAATCTGCATAGCGATGTGGATTTTGTGATCGCAAAAGCAATCGCATTGCGATGTTTTAAATGGCCAAAAAATCGCATTGCGATGATCGGTAAGCGTTTTGCTTACCGATTTTCACATTGTGATGTTTTAAAAACAGCTGATCGGCAGTTCCAAAATGGCCACGGGGAAAAAATCACCACCTGCAGCGTTTTCATGTGGTTTCCTTGCATACCGGGCGGCGAAAATGGCGGCCGTATGGAGGATTTCCGCATAGCGGTGAGTTTTTCCCCCATAAGAACGCATTAAACGTGTTTTAATGCATTCCTATGGGCTTTTTAGTCCCGCACAGTGACAAATCTGGATAGCGACGATTTTTTCAGAACGGATTATCATCGCTATGCGGGGCACCACTGTATAGTAGAAGTAAAAAGAGTTGAGTGTAAGTATACATACTGTACTAGCATCATTAAAAACAGAGAGTTCAATGGAGCCTTGGAAGTCTTGGTCCAGAACAGACTGCAAACATTCATCCAACCAGCTCTCAGCATTGTAAACTGGCAGAATTACAGACTGAAATGAAGAAAAATATATAGCATAGTGTTGCCAACCAAGATGCATTGTTGCAGTCCTTCTACAGTAACAATAAACAGCAACTACAACAATAATACACAGGCCTAAATGCAATTGCCAGTTCCAGCCACGAGTTTCCTCCACTCAGGATTAGCAATCAGATTCAGGCCACAGTACTTTTACTGTACCCACATAATCAAACATATACAATAACCTCTGAGGATAAGATACGTATAAGATACTATTCTTCTTTCTACAATAAGCTTTTTTTTGGGGGGAGGGGAGTTTGGATGCTTCTACAGTATTGTTGTTATATTGATACAATATCTTATACTATGGGTACAAGTTGTTATCCACTTTAGGAAATGTATTATCTGTACACCAATACTATTAAAAGCCATCATACTCTTCTCGAAATGTTCATGCTTGAAGATACAATAAGGCATAAATAGAAAAGGGAATGCATGCCAGACTTACATACTAGTATATCTTGCCCTTGAAGAGCTCAGACTTTCCCCCAAATGAGGACAGATTATTCCTACAGTTGTTCTGAAGAGGTCCTCTGAACAATTCCAAAAGCTAACCTGAAACAAGTCCCACCTTACTCATGAGCTTTCAGCAGGTACTGCTTGCTAGGTGAGTGTGGATATGTATATTGGGGAGAGGGATCTCCTTGACGTCATGCTTCTCCTTCAAAGAGGCTTCCAGGGATTCTCAAGATAAATATGACATCAAAAGATAATGCCCTATCCCTCCCCCAAATCAGATGGAAGAGTAGGGTCATAGCAAAACCAAAGGTTTTGATTGGCTACCAAGGCCAATGTTTCAGGATCTTATGTACTACCTTGTTCTTTTTTTCTCCCAGAGAAGCAGCAACATTATACAAACTCACTTAAGCTAAAAACAGACATTAGAGCTAGAGCTAGCCTATGACTGCAAAAAAGGAAATCCTTAACTAATGTGAGCATCTGAGTACCACATGATCAGCTTCTCTCAACTCTGGGATTATGCAAATACACTTTATTTGGTGACTGCTTTTCAGTACAGTATTTAAGTACAGGATTCCTCCACACTCTGATTTTGCAAACACTGCAAAATCTGCTCACTTGTCTCCCTATAACATTAACTTACTTTCAGCTCAAATTACAGGCTATCTCTAATATCTGCTTCTGGCTATACTTCTTCACAGGAATCCAGCATGTTTTTAAACCAGGAAAGATTTATATAATTAGCATCTTTTAAAAATAGTGTAAAAGTTAAGCAATACGTTTATGAGAAACAGCTTCTGAACCAGACTTTTTAGAAATATACAAAACAAAATTCCACATAAGATCTAAAATTGTTGTTACAATTACACCATGAAAAGTAGCCACTAAAAAGGTAAGTTAAGAAGAAATCTAACTAGGGCCTAACATTGCATATGCCTGTATGTGAACAATCTCTTTCTAAGAACGAACAAAAAAAGCTCTGGGAGAGGAAACATAAAAGTAGATAAGAAGGGAAGAAGGGGTTTTCAGTTCCAGAGAACCCTCATCTGAAGTGAGTTTACCCTTTTTAAAATATGCATGCCAATCTATTGTTACAGGCATTTCTATATAACACTTAGTTCACCTAAACAGCATACCACTGTGTGTGCTTCTGTTGTAAATGTACACGTCCGTGGGAAAAGGCAAAATGATTGCTGTAGTATCTACACCATTATCAATCATCATGTCAGAAATAAGGGGGAACGGGGCTGTTGCAGCTTACAGTCCTAACGATCCTGGAACCAAGTATGCCAAACAATTTCTGACTGTTTAACACACCACAGGACTACATTCACCATCCACATGCAGACTTGCTAGCTGCAAACAAACAATCAGGAGTGTAAGCAAAATATGATGTGACCTACCACCTGAATCCTACTGTTTTCTCTGACTTCCCTACTCAAGGGTGCAAAGGGCAGCAACTCAGGTCTGTCCAAAGAGGGAGTGGCTGGATTCTTGCTCTTGGGCAGGGCACAATCACCAGCATAGATGTCCTCTCCCAAAAAGAGAGGCAGACTAGTAGGAGCCTCAGAGACCATTTCTGTGCCCTCCATTGTTACTTACACACTCAGGACAACACAGGGACCAGGAAAAAGCACACAAAGAAAGAGCACACAGCCTGTCAGAGGGAAAGGACAGAGTCATACACGTTGTGGTACAGGGAGACTTAAAAAAAACTTTCCTGCTTTGGGTATGTCGCAGCTCGTGTCCAGCAGTCCACAGCTTTTATGCAGAAAAGTGTAAGAGGGAGGGTTTAATACGGCGCGGCTTCTTAAAAACGAAGTCGACAAAAAAGAAAGCAGCAGCTGAAGGATACCTGGGAGGGGTGGGGAGACGGTGGTGGAATAGGTGGGAAGAGCCGAAATAATATCGTTGCAGCAAGAAGCAGTAAATGAGAGGGAAAGCCCCAGATGTAAAGAGCAACATTCGAGAAAATGGGAAAATCAGCAGGAAAAATAAAGGGGAAGTAGGGAAATTGGGAGAGGGAAGGTAGAGACCACCCAGATAGGAAGAAACGCTGGTAAATACAAAGGTCGCATCCAGTCTCTCTCTCTCTCCCCCTTTTCCCATCTCCTTCCTCCTCCTCC